GATTTATATATTCCATTGACTTGGACTTATATGGCAACAGCTTTTTCTTTTAGGTTTAAAATTAAAACAGGAAAAAAATCTTCAACATTCTCAGAACTGTTTTATTTCTTTCTTGGCACAGAAAGCTGTTAAATGAAATCATTTTCTCCATTGTGCAGCGAAGCTACAGCTACTTGTATGTCAGTCAAATATACTTTACCCAGAAAGCTCATAGCTGCTTTGTTACTGTAAAACTGAGGTTAGTCTCATTGTTCCAGTCACACAGTCACCAGATATAACCTCTGAAAGGGAAAAATAAAGTGCATACTATTGCTGTTAACCAGGTTCTCTTATTCGTGCTGGAACTCTGGCAGTCACAGTGGCATTGAGTGTGGAGTAATGTGGCTGTCACAGCCCAAGCAGAGGGTCCAAATCCAGCCAGCCAGGGGCAGGTATTTCATCATGTCTGAGAGAGGAAAAACTATGCAAGAATTTTAATACATTCAGTGCCTGAAGTAGGTATTTGTAAAGGCTATGATTATTACATGAGAAGCAACAAGAATAAAGGAATTATCCTTCTGACCACTCAGAACCTTGTGCTGATTTTCTAAGAATACCATAATGTCATAAATAAACTAAATAAATATTCCTAGAGGTATGAAGTAAATCAAACAAGAACACATCATAATAAAATCCAATGAAGAGAGAAAGCTCACAGGCATATTGTTTGAATACTTGTTTCTGAGTCAGTTAACTGATTGTCTGTGTTACTATTACTGGAGATTGCACAGACCTCAAGCAAGATCAGCTCACCGTCATGCTGGGTAACCCCTAAACAAAGAGAAGCCCTGCCTCAAAGGATGGGTGACAGAAAGCACAGCCATCAGACCGAGAAGGAGCACTGCTCCCTCCATTTGACCAAACCAGAAAGGCAGACACGGAGGCTTTAACGGACCTGCCTAAAATTACAGATGATGGTTGTAGCAGATCTGGGACCAGAAAACAGCTCTGCCACAGCCCAGTTAATGCCTGGCCCAGAAACCACACTTTTACTGGCTTTTCACTTTTATTTTTCTCATGTGACTACGTACAGCTTAAATTGTTCCACGGCCAAGTGGACTCCCGGGTCAGTCAGCTTATCTGGGAAGAACAGGAAAAGTGGCAAAAGCTGAACCATCTGGAGAGTTCCTCTGCCAGCAACCAGGTTTGGCACAGAAAAAGTATAATGGGGTCAGGCTCTTTCCTGGCACCATTCACAGTTAATTGAGGGATTTTGAAGGAAAGGTGGTTTCTAGAGAGCCAGTGTGGGCAGCAAGGGTGGAAAACTCCCAGTAGGGAAACCCGAGCAAGAAGGTTTGCACAGATGCCAGTGCTGATCCACTCCAGTGGGAGGAGGGGCATGCATTCTCCAGAGAGGGAAAGGGAAAGTTACATTTATCACAAAGAAAATGAAAACACAACTGAATCAATTCCAATCTCTTACTTGGGTGACTTCCTTCCATTTCAAAGAGGGCAGAAAATGAGGTTTAAACATCAGTTCAAAAGCTCATCTCTAGATTAATAGGCAAGCCTAATAAGCTCTGACAGAATTATTTTCATCCAGTATGGCTGAAAACTTCACTGATGTCATGTAGACTCCCAGGACAGTCAGAACAGCTCCTCTGGAGCAAGATACTCCTCAGCAGACAGGTGGAAGGAGCTGGCTTCTATATACAGCTCAGTTATTGTCACCAATGGTTACTGCATTGTTCTGGGCGAAAAAGACAACTTGGAAGTCAACACCACCCTGTACTGAGAAAACACATGGCTGAGATGTCCTCTACCAATGCCTTGCCCAGCAGTTGTTTCTTGTGACATGAAGAAGATGAAAGAGAAGGCAGTCACCAAGAGTCCTCTCCAGCCCTCAGCTAACCAAGAGAAAAGACTGATACCTCCAAGCAGGAGCCTCCTTGGCTGCAATTTCCCCTTTTCTTTATAGATTTGAACAAGAGCAGACATGTGACATTTCTCCTTGGAGAAACTGTTAAGGAGAAATTTCTCTTGCAGCCACTGCTTTTTTTTTTTTTGGGGGGGGGAAGCCCCAAACCTCATGTTAAATAACTTTTAACACAGTCACATACGGAACCATTTGACCGAAGCTGCAGCAACAGAAGATTGTGAAGCCTCTTCACTTACTCCCATCAGTAATAAGCATAAACAACATGAAAAGTACCTCGGGTGCAATTCCAGAGCAGCCCCTTTCCCCCTGGCTCCACCAGCCTGCTGTGCAGCAGTGGGTGATCACAGATCCTGACTGACCGAGCACTGAGGGGAGAAACCACACAGAAATGTGGCATCAAGGCCACACTCAAGGGGGCTACAAAACTGCACCAGTATCTCTAACTTCTCTATTTGTTCCAGATTGTCTTTCATGTAGAAAGGAGACCTACCCCTCCTTACACAAATATTAAAATTGGGGAAGACCACTGGAAATCAATGCTCTGCTTCTTTAGCAGTGATGTTTCCTTATTCCACAACACATGGATTACCCTTTTCTGATGACCAAATTTAAGCGGACCCATTTATTATAAGGAAATTAGCCTCTCTAACCCTTTGCTACTTCACAATTGAACCCACTTAAAGACAGTTCTTGATTAAACACCACTTATCCATCATCTTTACTTTTAATGACTTTTCATTTTTGAGAGAATGAACAGTAACGTGCTGGGCTCAGTGATCACACATGGGATATCCATTCCCTCAGCTCTGGGCTTCTTTTGGAGCCAGAGGATGCAGGGAGGAGGCACAGAGGTGAGACAGAGCTGGGTGGAGAAAGCCTTTAATGCCCATTTGGAAATCAGCAGAGATTTTAACAGCTGGCTCCAGGGAATGCAACTATCTTTAACAAAAATCCTGCCATTTCAGGGGAGCTCATTCTTCTCTAGCTTGTACTGGAAACAGGTATCTTTTCAGAATTATAACTTGCATACACTTACCTAGAAAAAACATCAACCCCAAACCAACTGCTTCTCCACAATTCATGTACAAGTGCAATTTGGGGCTCTCCACACATAGCCACAACCAGTCCTCATCCCACACTGCACCTGCCAGGCTGCCCCTCGACATGCTGAGCTCAGACTGGGGTTGCCCAAGCCCCTGATTAGGTCCAGGAAAACTGAACCTCAGGGAGCTCTGCTGGTGACCTAAAGAGAAGCTAAATCTGCTTTTATGGTATTACACAATGTTGTAACCACTGGATGGAAAGCACTGGGTCAACCAAATTCACTTTGCATACTTCTTTTAACATTTTTAATGGGGTGACTCTGCACTGAAGACTTTACACCAGATCAGCTGCTAACCTTGCCTGGCTCACTGTCAGCTGTCCTCCCACAGCAGGCATAAAGCTAATCTGAAAACAAAGCTGCATCAACTTTGCATCATTCATCCTGGCTAATTTGACAGAAGTGTGATTGCGCCGTGCGTCTTGATTCAAATCATATTTATATCACCAGGTGATAACCTGCATCATGAGCAGCCCCTCATTAATGATCACAACACCTGTGAAAACATACCATGTCCCAGTGCTGTCTTGCATATGTTCTCTTCAAATTCTAAGGAATTGCCTGGAGTTTAATCAAATTTTATGCTAAAAAAAAAAAAGGCAAATTAAATTTACAACATGGAAAGTGCCATCTAAAGCACCAATTGATCTGACAGGGAATTTCCCCTTCGTTTCCAATAACCAAGTAGCTTTTAGAGAGCAGTGCTAGTGGTCCTCAGTGCAGCCATAACACTGCAAATTCTCCAAAAAAGGCTCTTTACTTGACACTTGGCTCTTCCCTCTGTGTTGCTTTTCCAATATATCTTCACTTTCCCCCATTTTGATCTGTCTGTTACATTTGTGCTTCTAAATAAGGCCCTCCCCTTTCCCATTTGCATGCAGAAAGGTGTCTTCAGACTGGTTTGTACCAGTAGGTTTTCCTTCAAAATTAAACTATTTGAATTTAGGAGGTTTAGCAGCACCTGTCTAGATAGGTACCAGCAGATTATCTCAGTGATTGCAAATGCTCATTTCTCAGAAACAAAACACATCTCCCTGTGTGACTGGAACATCTGGATTCAAAAGTTTTATTCCACCCAGTTCTCTTCCCCAACCTCCGCTTCTCACTTTGTGCCTGCAAGTGTTCCACACAGTCAGGTAGCTGCTTGTCAGGTCTGCAAATGGAAAAGTTCTGCTATATTTTTGTGAGTCAGTAAGGAAAAAAAGAAGGGCATGGAGTCTTCAATCTTAGCCTGTTTTAACCAGAAAATCAGAAAAGATAATCCAGAAAGATAATTTGTACAGATAAATGGGTCAAAAACACTGTTTTCCAGGGGTACCTACACCATGGTTTCCCATCCTGTATAGGAGAACAAAAAGAGCGAGGCAAGATGAAAAAAACATGACTGATCATTCCTAAGTCCAGGCATATACCTAAAGATAGTGAAGAGGAAATGAATAAATAACTAAGCTTTTAATCAGTGCATCAGTGCAGGAGAGACCTGGCAGGGTCTAATGCAAAAAGGAGCTGCTGCGAGACAGGCTGATTTCTGCTCCAGAACCAAAAAATCCAGTAACATGTTGAAATGAAAATCTGCATCCCCCAGCAAGCCTAAAGCCAGACTCTTAACTGCCTGAAAGATTGGAGCAAGAGCTGGGGAAAAGAGATAATAAAGAATGTAAATAGTAGTGTATCACACTGAAGAGAGACAGAAGAGAATCTGGAGGAGTTTCTTCAAAGGGCGCAAATTCCCTTTCTCTTCCAGCTCATGGTATTATACACAGATAACCTGAACAGCCCTCACAGCAGGAAAAGCGTGTTTCTGATGGAGACAACACATATTCCCAAATTATCAGCCCCACAGAGCAAACACACCTGCTCCGTGAAGCCTCACGTGTGTGAGCGCACAGGCAACCAAACATTTCCTTGCTGTCAGTCAGCAAATGTACATGGCAGAAAAAGTCTAGATCCACTGAGGTCAGAAAGAAGGCACAGGCTGGCTCAGACAGCTTGGCATGACTTCTCATACTCTGAGTGTTTCAATGCATCGGGGCAAATCCTCACCATCTCTCTGCACAATTCATCTGCTGCAGCTTGTCTGTACATGATTGTGACCGCTGAGGCAAAAGGTAGGAGAGAGGCTGGATAAAACACCATGCAGGACTTTTCTGCATGCCTCTCTGCTAAACAAGTGTTACCTGCGAAAACACACAAAAACAAATTTAAAAATTGCAATTATTATCTGACAGTAATCCAACATGACAGTAGGTCTAAAAGTCAATATATGGAATCCACTGGTAAATATTATTGAAAATTACACCAGACAAGTTACACAACTTTTCAATTAGCCAGCATGCAAGACATGCTTATCTTGCACAAACTATAGTGCAGTTTCCCAGACACAGAAGAGCATCCCTGATACAGAGTGGCTGTTGGCATGCACCACGTGTTGTTGACACCAGGAAAGCAATCCTGGAGTGATGGGTACGTCTCCTAATACAATGCCGTGTAGCTATTCAGCTCCTGGAATTCAGTTTTATGTGATTCAATCAGCCCTAATACAAAGAAGTAGAAACACATTAAGCAAAGTTCTGAGAGCCTAACAAATCAAAATGCTGTTTCACTGCAGGCTCTGTCAGCCCAACTGTGGTATGTTTCTTACTGAATCTGTTTCTCTGCCCCGGTACAGAGAAATTATTGATAAATGCTAGGGATAAACCACAGTGCAAATTTCACAGCATCTAACATAACGAGATGCTTCACATTTCTATTGTGCTCTCCAATCCAGAATTTTAAGCATGTTTTAGTGGCAGTCAGCTTATCTTCACAGCACCCTAATACAGCAAGCCAAGACTAATTCCCTATTTAATAGCTAAATCAAGCTCCCCAAGGATTATTTTTAGTCTCAGTTACCCCATCAGTTCATTAAAATGGTTTGAGCTGCTCCAGGAATGGCTGACCCATCCATCAGAAGTGGACATCAGAGTGTCCTTCACCACACTGAAGGAACACCATATATTTCAGTGTTTCTGACTGCTTTGCACTATTAAAATAAAAGATATTTTTGTTGCAAGAGCTGTTGCATGCTCCATCAAAAATCCTATTCCAGCCATGGCACTAAACTAGTCAGATTCTGCTTTCATTTACAGCAGTGTTGGGATAGGGATAGTTTCTATCACTCATGTGAATTTGCTCTGCTTTCAGAGACTCCCCCTCTGAGGAATCTGACCAAACAGGTCTGATTTTCTCTCAAATACACTGATTCCAGATACTTTGCAATTATAGTGATGTCACCAGTGTTAACTGTGATTTACACTTGCCTAATGTAATCAAAATTAGATGCAGTCCACTTATAAGGAGAGAAGAAAAATTTAACACTAAAATACAAGGAGCCAACTCTGCTCTTGCAAATCACTGGTCTCACAAAGCTCCATTTCCCACTGAAAACATAATTACTGTGCATTTGCAGGTGTTAACTAGAAGATTCACTCATTTTTGTGATTTGCCATTATTTTACTGCCACTACATCCATTATTACCTTAGCCTCAGATGTCAAGTCTTTCTGAACCTACTGGCTAGTTTTCTGCGAGAGATAATGAATTCTTATTTATTGTTTATGCAATTTTAGCAACTACACTACTATTCCAATCCCCAATGGAACTACCTTCCAAAACCAACACAGGGCTCTCATGATTATTGGGCTTTGATGTTTACAGAAAATTAGAGCAGAATTTACAGAATTACAAAATAATTACAGAATTATACAGAAAATAGTAAACCAATATCAGCTACATATTCCTGCACGGCAATACAGCAATCACCTCTCAAATAATTTCCTCCATTTCTGGAGTGCTCAAGACTCTGAATCATGCAAAAACATCCAGTTCAGCAAGAGGAGAGGTGATGGGGGGGCAGAGGAGATCACAGAGGGTATCTTTTCTCTGGGTTAATCCTATAGCTGCAGGAATCCCAGCAAGTGTAGGGAAAGAACAGTTTGTGATCAGCAAGACACAGGCTTCCTGCAAACACACCGTGACATGAACCAAACCCTCTGATCAGAGCAGAGGGTGGGTTTCACTGCTTCACAGGGCTGGGAGATGCCCCTAAGGGATTTTACCATGGATGAGACAGGCACAGCAGTACCACAGCCATGCCTACAGGGTGCCGGGGGGACTGAACCGGGCTGTGGGGAGCTGCTCTGCAGTGAGCACTCAGCTCCTTCCTCCACAGGCACAGTGCAGCTGCTCTGGTGGCAGTGAAGTGGAGTGGGGACAGCTGTGTCCCCTTGGAGCAGAGACAGTGAGCAACAGAGCTGGAACTTGCCAGGCCAAGGACTGAGCTCACCGGTGTGGCTCTGACCCTAATGCTGACACAGAGCTCATCCCAGTGCTGGGAGACAGCAGGAACTGGTGGTTCCCATGGAAGAGTTTCCAAGTTTCTACAGGCTGAGCAAAGTCTTTTTCCTTCACCCCTGCTTCTGGGTGATCCAGGCTGGAAATTAAAAACCAAGAACACTAAGAAGCCACAATGACACCTGAAGCTTTATGGGCTCACACAAATTCCGGGAAAATCAGCAGAACCAAGCCCAAGTATGGATATGTTTTTTCATATGAAAAGCAGTTAGATTCACTGATGCTGTTGTTAATTTAGTGGGGGAAGGACTAAATTAGTGTGGCTCACTCAGTCTGAAGAGATAGTTGTGCTGTTACTGTAATTAGCAGCTGCCTTGAAGAAGAATTGATAACGGCCAGCCAACATAAACCACCGGCAGATGAGAACTGGCCTTGGCAGTTTGGTCTGGAACTGGAACCTTTTACTTCTGGGAGAAAAAGAGAACAAAGGACATTTTGGTGGTGTCATATTTTTTTCCTCTCTACATAGAAAAGTCATACCCAGCATCTTAAAACCAAATTTTACCATCTTAGTCTTTAATATATGCTAGCTTTTGTTGATACTTTAAAAGAGGAAAAACTTTTTAAAGGGCAATAATGCATGAAGGGAGATGCGTGCAAAGAAAGATGATCTTAAACAATACTAAAAATAAATGTAGCTTAAAAAGATCCCTTAAAAACAGCTGTTGACGTTAGAGATTCAATTAAAATGTAATTAGTTATACATCCTCCTTTGAAATGAACAAGCATATTACAGCCTTCATCTACAATGAATTGCCTTTTACATTCATACCTCTTTTTTGCCTGTAAAAAAGGCAGATTTTTACAGGAAGCACTGTAAAGATAGGGTAGTTCTACCAAAAATTTTTGCAGTCAAAGACAACATAAAAAGATTTTTTTAACCTACCAATACAAAGCCACATTCATTATGCTTGCAGTGTTCATAAGATACCTCACAAGTGTTCTTAAATGCACAAAACAGAAGAAAAGAGAGAGATAAATTGATAAGGGATGGTTCTTGCCATAAATTAGGATTCTGAAACAAGTCAATAAAGGCTAAATCAATCTGACTCATTAATTGTCATTTACCTGAAAGAGAAATGCACCATAAACTGCTCACCCTGCATGGATTTGTACAGGCAACAGGCAACCAACAGCTTTCCCTGGGGCCAGTGGTTTATGGAAGCACCATTGACCTGGTTTTCTATGGAAACTACACGGATGTTTTCAATTCCAGTGTGGAACTGCAGCCTCAGTCATAGCCATCAAACTCCACATTAGACATTCATGCAGCATCAGGCGTCCTGTAGCTGCCAAGGGCCACACAATGAGACATTGTCTGACCCAAAAGTCATGTAATTAGGCTGATGGGAACAACACCAGCGGATGGTACATTGAGCATATCCTAATTTTGGATAGGCCATTCTTTGGCTGCCTGACTACCAGTTAGCTGGGGAAGAAGTAAAGTCTGCTATTATCAACAGGCAACTTTGCTGCTAAGCCAGAGCGATGATGAAAGGCATGTTTGGCTTGAAAATCGCCATTGGGGAAAGGAAGGACAGCCATAGAGCAGAGATGTTCCCGGAGACAAATAGGAGACCCCACTTTTAAATACTTTTTATTTTTGCAGAGTGGGTGACCCTACCTTCTAGAAGCCACCTCTGCAGCTAAAGCTACAGCATGTTGCTGCACTGGTTTGGTGAAAGCCCAGCACTCATTATAACATCTAATACCAAGTTCTTCAGAGGCAGCAGCTGGCAGGATGAACACAGAGCTTGTGTCGGGGGGAGAAGTGTGAAATTCCTCTCATTAGCAGCACTGCACGTTGGTGCACAGACTCTCTCCTTAAAAGAGTGACCTCCTGCACAGCCAAGAAAGAGCTTTCCAAGAACCATGTGACTCCAAAGATTGAGGACATGTTCTGCCGGAGTGGGTTTTTAATTTAAATTACTCATAGAAAGTTACATTTTTGTGGCCTGAAAACATCTTCATCTGTGTCAGACGCAAAGCAGTTTCATAATTGCACGTGATTGACTTTTTTTTTAAAGAAATGACATAAGGAGAAAGAAATATGAATGCTTGTGAAACTTTAAACCTCCCTGTCTGCATTTGTGCAACAGTTGCAAATAATTCCAGAAAATATCTTATGACTTCTATTTCAAACTAAAGGTGGATCAAGTCATTTAGTAATGTGACTGGTCTCTGGAAAGCAGTACAGACAGCAACTACATTCACCTTTTTTGTCAACTGTGTACTCAAAACTACAAAAAGTTAGGTACAGACAAATTCCACTGTTTCCAGCTATTCTTGCCATTTTTAAACACGTGGTCTAAGATTTGCACAGTTGTAGGCATATCATTGTGCAAACAGCATCCCAGCCACGAGGAGTAAGAATGGATCTTATTATCCGTATAAATTATGAACAATTTCACAACATCAATTCCCTCCCGATGCCTCATGACGTAAGACATTGCTCCTCCCCTCCTTCTCCATGTTCAGGAACATCCAGCCAATGCTCAGGGATTACTAGATCCGTGCTGTTCGCTCCTTCATAACACTAACATTTTAATCTCCATTTAAAAAGGGCATCACATTTAAAGTGTTAGTAATGTTACACCAGAGGAGGTAAGAAAATTGCAACCTGAAGTTGCCTTTCTGTATCTGCAACAAAGCCTGCAAGGACAACACGTGTAACACTAGGATCACATATTTCTTCTAAGTCAAGCCCACATGCCCTGTAAGAGGAAGGGAGGAAGGGAGATTCTTACACTTGCTGAAAAAGATGATTTAAATAACATGTAAAAACA